CTTAATATTCGATGCTCATTGGTACATACGGTTTTATGCTATGCATATGCAGTTATGTCAATTTGTGTGCGATAGACCTTACGACCACGCTTATGCAATTGTAGAATGGCCTTAATCTTTCTATTGTCTTTTTCTCTTTTACCAAGTATTAGATATCTGTCTATTTCATTTTAAATACAGACGGTGCAACATAGGCTGCGTTCGCTTTGGGCGCTTATGCGCTGTAAGCGTCATTCTATCTTCTTCCCGTGCATATAATGAGCGATAAAGATAGAATGGGCACGTTCAACGGAAAAAGCGCTCAGTGAGCAATTAGCGATTATTGGTTCTTACTGTTAGATCTCTAAATCTAGACCAATTACTGACGAATTGCTCAACTGTTGTACAACTGTTGAGTTCACCGAACGCACCTAATGACGTTTACAGCTCGTAAGCGCCCACATGCGAACGCAGCCACAGTGCATCTATAAAGAACAGACGTCTACTTTCCGTTGAATGGTGTTGGGGGTACGCCTTTTGGTTGCCTGAAGCCATATTGAGAGAGAGAGAGAGAGAGAGAGAGAGAGAGAGACGTCTACTTTCGCGAGAATAAAAAAAAAATTAGACAAATAATATTGGCAATACTGTTCAGTAACATAATCGTTAAAGGGAGACCGTGTGGTTCTATAGTCTAACACATGAGAGTTTTATACCGAATTATTAAAAATCTTTATAAACGTTGTAATTAATAAGGTGACAGCGATTACCGACTTAACAAGCATGGTAAAAATATATTATGTAATGAGAGATATGAAAAATTTTGTGAACACATTATTACTGTCTTATTTTTATCATGCTTTTAGTCTGCAACAATGCATAAGGAAATTGCTAAGAAGGTTCTGCATCCAAATAGTCGAAAAATTATTGCAATTGCCAAGAAAACAAAGAAGTAAGTAAAAGAAAATATACACTTGCACTAGATATAATTCAATTCATGCTTCCCAACAAAAGAACTAAGATACATGAAAAACATATATTTTACTTCTCAGAATATCAAACAGACAAAAAACTAAACTAATTGGTATGGTGAAACAAAGCTTGGTAGGAGAGAAAATAATGTGGATTCAACAGAATATGATTCCTGGTGTAAGTCCTTACACTCCAGAACTCACAGCGGAATTACTCTTAAAGTAAGCACTATTGTTTAACTTAACACTATTGTGTTAAGAACCTTGCAGATAGACTGTGACTTTGTTAGATTGAGTAAAGTCTTCATTTAAACATATTAATTTTATGCAAAGGTACATTGGAAGAAACGACGAGGAACTTGAACAAATTGCTATTAAGCATTCTGTAGGAGGAAAGAGAGGTAGACAACATGCTAATAGAGAGGATGTAATAAGGATGACTAAGAAAAGAGAGCAGGAAGAGTTTGATACTTGTGGAATCGGTACTTGTACTCTACTCCTTTTAACTAGATTAGTGCTGCACTGAAACATTAGTGTTTTTACACTGAAACATGCTACTTATGTACTTATTTTACTTTAAAGACAAAAAGTGCGCAATCTAAAAGAAACTGATCTTTTGTTGTTGAAATTCTGTCCCTAAATTATGGATGGCACTTAATTCAATGTTTAATTCATTGCAGAAATTCCTGACATTTTAATTCCTGCACAATGTGAAATGTTGAGGACGTGGAACGGTGAATTGAGATTTCTACCTAAGTTCAAGTTTCGAAGATTTGGGAAAGTGCACTTGAAAAATACGTTGCAAAAGATAGAGAAGCAATCGAGGACGTGTCATTATATAAATCTACTGCATTGTCTGTGCGAGATATCATTACATAAAAACAGCACCGAGCCTTGCATTTGTAGCAAAGCTAACGATACCGAAAGTAGTGATATAAAAAATAAAGAATTAAACAGTAATACCTTACTTGAAAATAGTGATGCACTTTAGGGCCAAATTTCAACAAAAATGATTAACCAATAAGTTACATTAAATGATGGATAAATAAATGATGTCTATTATTTCTGTTAACTGTCATGTCTTTCGTCATCCATTCAATTTTCAAAACAAATTAATTAAATTTTATTCGACCAGACGTGCGAATCCAGTTTGTGCGTATTAATAATGGACAATTATTTATCATATTGGGAAACACGTATGTAAATATAGATCAAAAGATCTACGAGAGTACGATTGTGAAATATCATTTTGCGATGATGATTCGTATACACGAATCTCCTATCAAGCTTTGTTTCAGCATACTAGTCATTTTAGCTTTTTGTCTGTTTGACATTCTGAGAAATAAAATATATGTTTTTCATCTTAGTTCTTTTGTTGGGGAGTATGAATTGAATTATATCTAGTGCAAGTGTATATTTTCTTTTATTTTGTTTTCTTGGCAATTGCAATAATTTTTCGACTATTTGGATGCAGAACCTTCTTAGCAATTTCCTTATGCATTGTTGCAGACTAAAAGCATGATAAAAATAAGACAGCAATAATGTATCCACAAAATGTTTCATATCTCTCATTACATAATTTTTACCATGCTTGTTAAGTCGGTAATCGCTGTCACCTTATTAATTACAACGTTTATAAAGACAATTTTTAATAATTCGGTATAAAACTCAGTCAGGCGTGAGGTAATGAGATAATGTATGCCAAGAGACTAAAAGAACGGAAGATGATGGAAGGGAGGAGGGAAATTGCGAAGATGTTCTCTGTCGTTGTTAAGCCTGATCTATAATTTGCTCTTCGCTTCCTGCTTCTTTCTCTTTATTTCTTTCTGGCTCAAACCTTATTAAGCTGTTAAGCCAGAAAAAAACAGAAAACAAGAAACAGAATGCAAAGAGCATATTGTAGATCAGGCTTAAAACTTGATCTGCAATATGTTCTTTGCTTCTTTTTCTTTATCTCTTTCTGACTCAAACTTTAAGCTTTAAGCTGATTTACAATGTGCTCTTCGCTTCCTGTTTCTTATTCTTTATTTTCTTCTAACTACAAGATTTAAATCAGAAAGAGATAAACAGAAAGAAACATAAAGTAAAAAGCACATTGTATATCAAACTTTAAGACAGAAAACAAGAAACAGAACGCAAAGAGCACATTATAGATTAGGTTTTACTGTCCAGATAGACAGAGATACTGAACGTTGCATGGAAACATTTAATGTATACTTTAAGGTAATATTCTAGTGTGAAAACCCGTTTTCAAGACTCGATTTTTGGGAATTAATTTTAAGCAAATAGTTAAACCTACAAAGTTAATGTTTTATGTTGACATTTATTCATCTTTGAAGAAACATTTCAAATTTTGTCAAAGTTTTTTATTCAAAATTGGAGAAAATACAAGTGGACCAAACAGGTCACGCCGTCTTCCATCGGGCGTGTTAATTGCCGCCGTTCTCGTTGTCTGAAATAAACGAATTTGCTTATATTTTGTTCTTTATGAATATGGCTATCGCCCGAATTAGAATTTTTTTATATCTTTAAAATTACTATTTTTCCGGACCGCGAAAAGTTAGAATTTTTTAGTAAAAATTAGACTACTATTTTTCAAGCGTCGCCATTTTGTCAATTTCTCTTCAAATTTGAAGAGTACAGAAATTATTTGAAAAAAATTTTTTTTTATTAATATTTCCCCACCACTTCTTATTATAATTATTAAAATAATTTCTGTAAAGTACTCTTTGTGAACCATTCAACTTTTATTCAAAATATTTTTTTCTTTTATAGTCTCTTATAGTTTTTATTATATTCCCTTCGAGTGAAAAAAACCGATTTTCTTCAAAAGTGTATAATAAAAAAACGTATCTGTTATTTTGATCTAAAGTACAACAAATTACAAGTTCATGAAAATCGGAAGCGGACATTTGTGTGGGTTTCCTTGTGAGAAAATTCTTGTTGTATAAGGACGCGTCTTTGCACACTTGTGCTAACCGCTAAGCAGATAATATATCGAAATACGTCTATCTGGGGTGTGTAAACGCACCAGCCGATAAATCACAGAAATCCGGTTAGCGCGACGAGGACTTCCTGCGAGTTACGTGGTTGCGTCGACGCGGCAATTGCAGCCGCAAAGAATTTCTCTGGAGACCCGCGGATCATTCTGGCGGAAAGAGAGAAGGGCGACGATCACGTGAGTAAGAGTGAAAGTTAGCGGGACCCGTCATTATCAAGTATGGATTCCTCTCTCGGCGTGATATAAAAAACGATTGATCTTTAATTAACACGGGTATTCGTAAAAAGAAGATAATCGCTCGTCCGATCGGCCGAGCTCGACGTCACGCGAACGATTATGCAGATATCGGCTGAAATCTTCGTAAAATTTAATTCTGCCGCGGCACAAGCTCTCGTCTCACCGCTCACGTTTCACGCTCACGCACACGCATCGGTGTATCCCGGTGTGTTAGAATTACCGTAGTGGTGACGTGGATACATGAATTCAAATTGCTCAGAGATAATTTCATCCCGCGTAACCTCACCGTACCCCCTAATGACGCCTGACCGTAAGGTTAATAACTGGAGAACACATAAATCCATCTTCGTTTCCTCGAGATCGGCCTAACTGTACACACGAAGTTATAATCCCGAGGAAGGTACCAGAAATTAATATTTCGGAAAGAGACGTCGTAAGATCGTCGAGATTTTATTTGTTTAAATTGGATGCCCAATCGAGTTATTGTTGACGCCTTTAAAACCTGATTTACAATGTCTTCGCTTCCTGTTTCTTATTCTTTATCTTTTTTCAATTAAAGGCTCAAGGTTTAAATCAGAAAGAGACGAAAAGAAAGTAATCAGACATTTTAGTACTAAATTCCTATAAATACTAACCGTGATTTTGTAGATTCACACAACTCGTATGGAAAATTTTCGTATGGAAAATACTCTAAATTTCTTGGAGTAAAATCTAACTCAAAATGAGTGAAAAGTGGCAATATTTCCATTCGATATCGGCAACTTAATGCTAGTTGTTCCAACTTCTTGGTAAGTTAATTGATAATTAAATTATATGTCTGTCTTTGTTCTTCCTTCAACTTAGACAAAAACAGACATATGATTTAACTATCAATTGACTTACCAAGAAGTTGGAACAATCGGTCTTTAGAGTAAATTCTGATTCTAAAGGAGCAAATATTTCAATCGATTAAAATGAGTATGTTTCTCCAACACTGGAGTACTACAGTCGAAAGACTGTATGGACATTGGTGAAGCTTGAGCTTCGTGGGAAGAAGATTTGGGAAGTCAAACAGTTAGTTTAACAAATTCAATTAATCTGGAAATCTTTACCTTAAATTACCTAAAATTAATAGAAAGTATTGACCTCGGAGATGCCAGGCAATTATTGAGAACGAAAATGAGCGGAGAAATTATTAATAATAAAGCATCACAGTTCTAGACAACTGGTACATGTATGCGTGCGTGAAGTTGGCACCTCATTTTTTAGCACCGCAAGTTTTGACATGAGTTCCATTTGCACCCACAATAGTTCTATAGTTCCTGATAGGTTATAGCAATAGTTCCGTCGAATTAATAAAAAAAATGAATTTTTTAAAATATGAGGTGCCAACTTACCACGGCACCGCAACATTAAAAAAAAATTATTTTGATAATTTTATTTTACAGTTCTCGAAGTGCTCTATAGTTCCTGATATGTTTTAGCAAGAGTTCCGGCCTCTAACTATTTTTAAACAATTTTTAAACTTGAGTACAAGAACCGCATTACAAGAGTAAACTCTGGGGTGCTGGCAGTTCTAGCCGACTTTTTGACGTTTTCCGGTAGTACTGCAATAGTTCCGAAGCTTCACATAGGTTTTAGTGAGAGTTCCGGCCTCTAAGTATTTTTAAATAATTTTTTAACTTTACCGTTGGCACCGCACTCAAGAGTGAACTCTGGGGTGCTGGCAGTTCTGGCCGACTTTTTGACATTTATACAGGCCAGCCTGTACTCATGACAAATGAACTTTATACTATCAGTATCAGTATATTTAAAGCCTTCAGCTCATATAGTCAAGAAGGAGACTTGATCTATAGTTACATTCCTTAACTGCACGTATTCATTTCTTATTTATATCTATTCAATTACTAGTCTACTAATAGACTAGTAATTGGTAGTACTGCAATAGTTCCGAAGCTTCACATAGGTTTTAGCGAGAGTTCCGGC